CGGCCACGGTACTTCCGAATGGGATATCGGTGCCAGGGTGGCACTGGCAATGCGGCGCTCTGCTGATAAGCTTGGGGATCCCAGGGTTCAGCGAGCCCCCTCTCGTCGTACTCGGCGTAGCAACCGCCGTCGGGATATCTGGCCCAGGCGCCAATCCCAGTGTGTATCCATTTCCCCCCCCCCCCCCCCCCCAAGACTGCTGCATCCTGTTCTCGGTCACGTAACTCCATCTTGCGTTCCTCTTGGCTGTGCATCTTCAGCAGGCGATGGCGGAGCTTGTCAATCGCATCTAGCACTGGTTGCAGCTGCCCAACTCGAGCACATCTGATCTGCAACGCAGCCACTTCACGTAACCGAAATGAGAGCCCCTCCCATACATTAGCTTCCCCCCGTGCTGCTGCCTTGATGAAAGGGCAAGTCCTTTCTTGGTCAGCTGTTTTTGTCTTGACGTACTTGTTGGGCTGCCCCCTCCGTGCCGTCTTCTGGTTACTGTCTGTCAGCATACGCAGCGATCGTTCAGCAACCACCGTCCATTTGCCAAAATGTCTACCCAATTCCAAGGCACCTTCATTATCGCGCTTGCAAGCCCAGGATTGCGCGGTCATCCTCAGCGGAGCTGCTGGCTCAACATCTCGGGTAAGGTAAAGCGCCTCCTGCCGCTGTTCATCCGTCACAGTGCTGCGCGCCACTTTGTCATGCGTCTCCGACAACAGTTGGGCATATTCATCATGGCCCAAGTCCCCAGGTTGCAAACCATCCCTCCCAGCTTGCTCCTGTAGCTTAGCGTACTTCTCGCGATCTCCCTGGAACCGCTGGACCCCCTTCTCCACCTTGGTAGTGGTCTTAAGAATGCCCAACTTGACTGGCAAGATGGGACCCTGCACACATATCGCCGCTGGTCGTGAGTGCACCTCTAGAACAAATCCAATGTGCGGCCCCCATGGCACATTACGAACTGGCGCGAACGACTTCATCAACGGCCTGAAATTCCGTGAACGGACACCGTAGTACAGCATCCGTCCCTTCCCCGAGGCACAAGTGATCTCACACCCTGTCGACGCAAGCAGCTCCCCTTCCAGCGCCTCTAACTATTTGGTGCGTCTAAACTGGTCTGGTGCATTGTTCCAATCTCCTGCGGCAGCCCACGGAACAGACATGGACTTGACAATGCGTAAGAGTTGCACCATCTTGTGCGCATTGTCCCCCTCAAAGCCCTTGCCCGCGCCGGGGTATACTACTATGAGTCCCACAGTTGCTCCCTGGAGTCTCCACAATATCATCGATCTATATTTCAGCTGCTTCTGAAACGCACTCTTTCCTGTCCCATCCGGAAGGTGGGCCGCTGTCATCAATCGGTTCCGCGCCAGCCAACAGGCGCCTCCACGCGCGCCCTTCACACTGGTTCTTGTCGGCGTCGCTGGCGCCCAGGTGAACTGCGACTGCCATCCTTGCCGCCGAAGCTTCTGAGACTCCACTTTGATTGCTCGAGCCAGCCAGGTGGTGTTCAGCCAATCGAATCACCTCATAATCTGCGTGCTCGATGTAGCGCTTGACCTTCTCACTGTAGCTTGTCGCATTCGCATCGGAGATGTGAGCTGTTCCCTTGCCCAGCTTGTCGGTGCTAAAATTGCGGCTGCCCCGTCGTGCTGGCTCCCGTAGCCCTCGCTTTGTCCTTGGCCTTGAGCACCGTGGCCTCCGCGATGTATTTGCCCACGTCCTCGGCATTGGTGAAGCCAGCGGGCTTGATCTCCTCGGGCTCCTCCTGCTTGACTTCTGTCGCGGCGGGCGCAGCATCGCCCGTTGCTCCTCTGCGTCTCCTGGTTGCAGCCGTCGCGTGGAGGTTGCGAATCTTCCCCGCTGCCTCGTTAGCCGCTTTGCCTGCATCAGTAGCTTGTCGTAGTACATCCTTGGCCTGATCAGCAGCCGCCTTGGCCGCCGCGTACTCTTTCCTGCCATTCTCGCCCAGGCTCGCCAGATCTTCTGCACCCAACTCTGGAAATGATTATTCTGCTGCTGCCGCCTCTGCTGCTGCCGCTGCCATGGCTGCTCCAGCTGGGGCCTTTATAGCGTCCACCTCGGCCTGCAGATCCAGACACTGCTGAGTGTTGGCCAACAACGTCTCGTGTACTTCTTTCTGAGATTTAGCTGCAGCCACCAACTGAGTGTTGGTACGACCTTGCTGCGCTTGCAACTGTCTGACCTTCTGAGTATTCGTCGCCAATAACTCCTCAGTCGTTGGTACTGGTGGAGGCTTCCACTTCGTTGCCAAGTCTGGACATGCAACTTCCAGGGCCTGTTGCGTGGCCAGGTCATTGTCCTGCTTGGCCTTGGTATACTTGGACATGAGCGACTGCACGAGCGCAGCCTGCGGGTCGGCGGGGTGGGCGCCTGCACTTGGCTGTACCCCTCCACCTCCTCCTGGTTGCCCTCCTGGACGCAGTACGCTCCAAAGTACACCGCAGCTGTGGCATGCTTCCCATCCAGGCTTACCCATCTTATGATTGAAGACCTAAGACGTAGGACAAAAAGGGCACGCCGTGTACTTCTGTGTGTGCCCTTTGCTCGTCGAACGCGCTCGGGTACCATCCTTCTTTCCCATACAATCACACGCGCTTTCGCCGCCCTCCTGGGCGCCCCTCAAGCCGCGGGCGTGCCTGTCACAACCATCTGATGCTATGGCGGCACACGGTACGCGCGCGTGCGTGCAGGCCCCCCCCCTCCCCAAAGGGGTTTGGCCCACAAAGGCTTGAGTGCGGGGGAGGAGGAGGAGGAGGAGGAGGAGCAGGAGGAGGAGGAGGAGGAGGAGGAGGAGGAGGAAGGAGGAGGAGGAGGAGGAGGGGGGAGGAGGGGAAGGATGGGGAGGACGAGGAACAGGAGAGGAAGAGGAGGAGGGGAGGAGGAGGAGGAGGAGGAGGAGGAGGAGGAGGGAGGAGGAGGAGAGGGGCAGCAGGAGAGGAGGAGGAGGGAGGAGGAGGAGGAGGAGGAGGAGGAAAAGGGAGGGGGAGGAGGAGGAGGAGGAGGGAGGAGGGGGGGAGGAGGCGAGGAGGAGGGAGGAAACAGGGAGGAGGAGGATGAGGAGGAGAGGAGAAGGAGGAGGAGGAGGAGGAGGAGGAGGAGGAGGAGGAGGAGGAGGAGGAGGAGGGGCAGCAGGAGCAGGAGGAGGAGGAGGGGGCTCAGGCTGTCGGGCCGCTCCTCAGGCCGACAGCGTCGGCGAGCCTGCTCGTGGCCGGGGCTCGCCGTGGCCAGAAGAGCCCGCCGTGGGGTTGTCGCAACGCCAAGGTGCCTGGGACTGTGCGATCCCCCGTCGCCGATCCGTGGGTGTCTGTTGGTAGTCCCCAAATGGGACGCACAGAGACATACTAATACTATATGTCCTCCTTGGAGGCGCGCGTCCGACCCAAACATATAGTATACCCATCTTGTAGTATATCGTTTCCCGAGCGGTGTGGCCAGAAAGCGCACGCCACGACGCATATACTATAAGATTTCTCGGTGCGCGCGTCGCCCCTGGGGTGGCGACGCACATACAGTATAAGTATGTTGGGGTGATGCCGACCAAACGTGGTGGTGACAACACCCGGCGGTGAGTCTCGGGCGACTTGGTGTCACCACCCGGTGTGGGGACTCGTGCGGTTTTCCGAGGATGTCCCGAACGTTGGTGGGTGCAGGAGTCGCAGAACGCGGCCCAGGATGGACACACAAACAAGTGCACACAAATAAGAATATCCCCCATATTTCCCCATATTTTCTGGGTTTTTGTCTTCCCCCCCACTTCCCACATTTTCCTATATTTTCTGGGGGATCGACGATTAATTGTGTCTGTATGTTTTTTCCCCTCCTGAGAAGGGGAAGGATGCAAGGGTAACCGCGGAAAGTCGCGCATCCTGACTATTCGGGTTGACCGTATCTCCCCCTGTCGCTGGTGTTCGGATCATCACAGAACGCCGCCTGCGAGGCGCAGCCGCTGGGCGGCATCCCGGGGCAGGGTTGCCGCCGAGAGCGTCCGAGAACGCCCGAAAACCTCGGACCACGAACCTCGAGACTTCGTCCCCCCTGAGCCCATTCTCCCTCTGACCTTTGCCCCCGGACCGGCTCCCGTGGGCAGGCGCCCCCCCGGAACGCCCTCCGCGAGACGCGGCCGCCTCAGGGCAGCCAAAGGCGGGGAGATCGCAGAGAGCCGACGACACCGCCCGAAAACCTAGAACCTCGGAACCTTGCCCTGAGGACCCATTCCCAGACACGATCGCGTCGTGGCAAAAATCAGGACGGGAAGTGTTTGGCTGTTTTCGACCCCTGGAGGCCCTCGCCGGGCCCCAGGACCGTCAAAAACGACTCCGGATGAAAAACCGGTCCCGGGGAAAGGGTCGGAACTTCCAGGGACGCCGTCCAAAAATCAGGACGTCGCATGTTCTCCTCCACTTCTAACCGCGCCGAGCCGCCCACGTCGTCCCTTGGCACGCCCGCACTGGGCCAGAACAAAAAAATGGCCACGCTGCCTGCCAGCAAACGTTGTCCAACACCGACAGCGGCCGTCCGTTGGGCAGGCGGCCGTCGACAAGCGAGCAGCTGGTGCCCCAAACCGGCAGCGAAGCAGCGCACCGAGAACCTCCCCAGACATTCGGCTGCTCCAAGTTTTTTGGTGTGTGGACCCAGGAGGTCCGGACCACTTCCCAGGGACCAGTTCTTGGTCTTGAATCGTTTTTTGGCGCTCCCGAGGCCCAGCGAGGGCCCCCAGAGGCTGAAAACTGACAAAAACCGCCTCCTCCAATTTTTTTTGGTAGAACCTCGAACCTCAGGATCTCAGAAGCCCTGTGGCAAGGGGGGAGGAGCAGGAGGAGGAGGAGGAGGAGGAGGAGGAGGAGGAGGAGGAGGAGGAGGAGGAGGAGGAGGAGAGGAGGGGGAGGAGGGGGAGGAGGGGGAGGAGGGAGGATCTCAGGGTCGAACCTCGAGCCCAGGACCGGCGAAGAGCTCGAGCCTCGAGCGCCCTCCCGGGGCCGGGCCTCCTGGGCGCCCTCGCCCGGGCGGCCCGCGCAGCGCCCGCGCAGGGCGCGGCGGCGGTGCTGCTCCGTGAGGGCGAGGCGCCTGGTGGCCAGGCCGCGTCGTGGTGCGACCTCGTCGTGATCGTCGGGCGTCCTCGCCGTCGTCGTCGTCTTCGTAGTCGTCTTCGTCGTCGTCGTCGTCGTCGTCGAGGCGTTGTCGTCGTCGAAGCGTCGTCGTCGTCGTCGTCGAGACGTCGTCGTCGTCGAGGCGTCCTCGTCGTGCGTGGTACGTCGGGCGTCGCCGTCGTCGTCGTCGTCGTCGTCATCGTCGTCGTCGTCGTCGTCGTCGTCGTCGCCGGGACGTCGTCGTCACCGTCGTCGTCGTCGTCGTCGTCGTCGTCGTCGTCGTCCTCGTCGTCGTCGTCGTCGTCGAGTCGACGTCGTCGTGCTTGGTACGTCGGGCGTCGTCGTCGGCGTCCTCGCCGTCGTCGTCGTCGAGACGTCGTCGTCGTCGTCGTCGTGCGTGGTGCGTCGTCGTCGAAACGTCGTCATTGTCGACGGGCGTCGTCGTCGTCGTCCTCGCCGTCGTCGTCGTCGTGACGTCGTCGTCGTCGAGGCGTCGTCGTCGTCGTCGTGCGTGGTGCGTCGGGTGTCGTCGTCGTGCGTGGTGCGTCGGGCATCGTCGTCGTCCTCGTCGAGAAGTCGTCGGCGGCGTAGTCGTCGTCGTCGTCGTCGTCGTCGTCGTCGTCGTCGTCGTCGTCGTCGTCGTCGTCGTCGTCGTCGTCGTCGTCGTCGTCGTCGTCGTCGTCGTCGTCGTGCGTCGGGCGTCGTCGTTGTCCTCGTCGAGAAGTCGTCGTAGTCGTCGTCGTCGTCGTCGTCGTCGTCATCGAGCGTAGTCGTCGTCGTCCTCGTCGTCGTGGTCCTGGTCGTCGTCGTCATCCTGCGTCGTCGTCGTCCGTTCGTCAACGACGAACGACGACGACGACGACAACGCGTACGCTACAAGCAGGTTCCCCGACAACTAGGGCCCTTCCTGATCCCAGAGCGGCCCTCATTTCATCCCCCTGCGGGCCGCTCGGCATCGACGGGGCCTACAGTGAGGCCACAGTCGAGGCGCTGGAAGGAGGACCACTTCGGGCGCAAGAAGGGCTCTGCGTTTCGGGCCGCTCTTCAGGCTCGAGTCGGAGGACCTCATCGTGGCCAAATGTCGCCGTGGCCAGGAAAACTCACTCACTGCTTACTCGGCGTTCCTATGGAGGAGCTACTTGGACGTCTTCTCGCTGAAAAGAGCACGACGAAAGCGTGTTATGTTCTGTTGGTATCCTGGGGCTCTCACTGGGCCCCTGGATCGTCGAATGACGACTTCAGGCCGCAAGCCGATGTTTCGGGGAAGGGGCCCCGAACTCTGGGGAGCCACGCTGCGAAACAACAAATACGAAATCGGACATCTGGGTAGTACAAAAACCCGAGTGCACACGACAATAACGCAACACCGCGGCCAGACGCGCCACTTCGTAGGTCCTTCCCGCGCGCGTGATTTACAGGAAAAGGGAGGAGAGAATGGAGGCCCACAATGAAACTACACTATTACATTTAGGACTGCCGAACCAAGAACGGAAACTATCTCGTCCCCCCCAGGCGCACGAGAAACACTGAAAGGAACATCCATGGAGGGACCTGATGGACAACGGACCCCATGAAGAACCATAGTTGCTCCGCACTTCGAGGTCACGACCTAATTTACCAGCATCCCCGCTGGGAGAAACTGAGCCCGGCTGGTCGATTTTTCCCTCCTAGGAAGGGATGCGTGCTGTGACCTTTGTGTCTCGCGGCTTGCCTCCTCCTCCTCCTCCTCCTCCTCCCCTTCCTCCTCCTCCTCCTCCTCCTCCTCCTCCTCCTCCTCTCTCATCATCATCAATCTCAGCATCATCATCATCATCATCACATCACCTCATCATCATCATCATCATCATCATCATCACATCATCATCATCATCATCATCATCATCATCATCATCATCAGCATCATCATCATCAACATCATCCTCACCATCATCATCATCATTCATCATCATTCATATCATCATCATCATCATCATCATCATCATCATCATCGTCATCGTCACATCATCAGCATCATCATCATCATCATCAGCATCAGCATCTAGCATCATCATCAGCATCAGCATCAGCATCAGCATCAGCATCACCATCAGCATCAGCATCAGCATCAGCATCAGCATCAGCATCAGCATCTCAGCACATCAGCATCATCAGCATCATCAGCATCAGCACAGCATCAGCATCAGCATCCATCAGCATCAGCATCAGCATCAGCATCAGCATCATCATCATCATCATCATCATCATCATCATCATCATCATCATCATCATCATCATCATCATCATCCTTTTCACCACCCTCCTATCCCCCCCTCTTCTCTTCGCCTCTCTCCCGGGCTCTTTCGCCCTCCTCATGTTCCTCGTCCCTTGTTTCATTCTCTTTTACCCGTTCCGCCTCTTCCTCCACCTCCACCTCCTCCTTCTCCTCCTCCTGCTTTTCCTCCTCCTCCTCCTCCTCCTCCTCCTCCTCCTCCTCCTCCTCCTACTCCTCTGGTTCCTCTTCCTCGTCGTCCCTCCTCCTCCTCCTTTTCCTCCTCCTCCTCACTCCGCCCCTCCGCCTCCTCCCTCGTCTCGTCCTCCTCCTCCTCCTCCTCCTCCTCCTCTTCCCTTCCTCTCCTTCCTCTCCTCCTCCTCCTCCTCCTCTTCCTCCTCCTCCTCCTCCTCCTCCTCCACCTCTTCGTTTCTCGTTTCTTGTTTATCGTTGTTCGTTTCTCCTTTCTCGTTTCCGCCAGTGTGCCCCCTGCCCCGCGGTGCGTGGCGCCGCCGCGCGCAGGGCAGGAAGGGCAGGTCCAGGAGGGGGCCAGTCGGGGTCTTCCGCCCGCCGGTCCAGCTGGTCACTCACTTTGCCTCCCCCGACGCGATCGGCTGTCCTTCTTCCGCGCATGCCTCTCACCGCGTACATCTCCACCTGTTCCTTCCCAGCACCCGCCATACGCGCTGAGCGATAGTACCCTGTATCCCGTGTGGTCAGGGTCCTGCTCGGGCCTCCAGGGGGAGCTAGCTCCGCCCTGTAGGACCAGAGGAGGGTGTACTAGGGCGCGCTGCCAAGCCATCTCCGCAGCACGGGGGTACCCTCGCACACCATGCAGGGTGTGGGAGATAGGCACGCTCCACCACTGACGGACGCTACAACACGTGACCTCGCTGACGGCGCATCCGCCATTGCAGCCTGGAGGCGACGGGCACCTCCCCATCAGGCCTCTGATGCGCTTGAGTGGGTTAGAACTGCACGCTAGTGTCCACACAAAGCAAGGCGCGCGCGACGAAGTGCAAGCGGTCTCGGCTACGGTCGGGCCCGAACAATGTAGTTAGCACCGCGCCTGTGGACCTCGAGGAGGGAATTTGGGAGCGTTGCATAGTACTTCGCGGATCTCGGAGGTGCCGGCGCACGCACAAAGGGCATGATGGGTCACTGGCACCTCCTTACACAGGCAAGCACCGCAACTGGGGAGCACGACGGGCGCTTCCTCGCCCCCCAGCACTGGAAGTGGCCAACGCTCGCTAATTCTGCAGACCACCCACAAGCGATAGTGCAGAGAACCAAAACGTTACCCAATGCTCTGAGATCCGCGCCTTCCTCCTCCTCTCCCCCTCCTCCCCCTCCTGTTCCTCCTCCCCCCTCCTCCTCCCTCTCCCTTACTCACTGTTGCTCAAGCTCAACGCTTCACCTTGTTCGGCGACAACGGCATCAACAAGAGCGCCCTGATGGCGAAGCGCTCCAAAGACGAAGGGCGGGTGCCGCGCGGCATGTACACGATTCCGCGCAAGTCCAACAACTACTTGAAACTCTGGAGGTGCAGCGACGAAACAATGGGCCAACGTGGTGCAGTTCTCCTCCTCCTCCTCCTCCTCCTCCTCCACATCCCTCTTCCTCCTCCTCCTTCTCCTCCCAGTTCCTCCTCCTCCTCTTCCTCCCCCTCCTCCCCTCCTCCACGTTTTCTTTTTCCTCCTCCACCCCCTCCTCCTCCTCTTCCTTCCTCTTCCTCGTCCACATCTTTCTCTTCCTCCTCTTCCTCCTTCTCCACTCATTCCTCCTCCTCCTCCTCCTCTTCTTCTTCTTCTTCCTCCTCTTCCTCCTCCTCCTCCGCCTCCTCCTCCTCCTCCTCCTGCTCCTCCTCCTCCTCCTCCTTCTCCTCCCCCCCTTCATACAGTTTTTCCTCCTTTTTCCCTTCCTCCTCGTCCTCCCCCTCCCCCCCCCTGTTTGATCCTCCTCCTCCTCCTCCTCTTCCTCTTCCTGTTCCTCGTCTTCCTCCTCCTCTTCCACCTCCTCCCCATGTCCCTCCTCCTCCACCACGTACTTTTGTTTCCTCTCTTCGCGTTCTTCCTACTCCTCCTCGTCTTCATCCTCTTCGTCTCCTCCTCTCTCCTAAGCCTTCCCCTCCTCTCTCCTCCTCCTCCTCCCCCCTCCTCGGCCTCATCCATCGCCTCCACCTATTTTCCTTCTCCTCCTCTCGCCGTCATCCTTCCTCCCACTCCTCCCGCTCCTCCTCCTACTCCTCCTCCTCCTCCTCCCCTACCTCCCTCTCCTCCTCCCTCCTCCCTCCTCTTCCCATCTCCCTCGTCCTCCTCGATTTTCCCGTCCTCGTCCACCTCCTGTCCCCTCCCCCTCTGCTGCACCGTTTCTCCACCTTTTCCTCCTCGTCCTCCCTCCCGCCTTCCCCTTATCCTCATCAGCCCCCTCCCTCCTCGTCCTCCTCCCCCTCTTGTTTGTTCCTCCTCCTCCTCCCCTCCTCCCCTCTCCTCCTCCTCCTGCCTCCCTACTGCTCTCCTCCTCCCTCCTCCTCCTCCTTCTCCACCCTTCTCGCCTCAGTCCCTCCTCCTAGCCCTCCTCCTCCTCCTCCTCCTCCTCCTCCTCCTCCTCCTGCTCAACGTCCTGCTCTTCGCCATCATTTTCATCGGCATCGCTTATGTCACCATCGTCGCCACATCCGCCGCCGCCATCACAGCTATCAGCGTCACCGTCACCATCGCCGCCGACATCGCCATCATCCCCAACGCCACCACCACCATCCTCACGTTCGCCGCAACCACTTCCATCATCAGCGCCACCAGCCTTTTCCTTCTCCTCCTCTTCCTCCATGGCCGCCCCCCTGCGCGAGAACGAACTCTGACCGAACAAAAAGGCTCCATCAGATTCCCCAGCTGGGGCTCTTCAGTGATCCCGCAAGCGCGCGCCATGGCCAACGCGCGCTCGTGCACCGAATCCCTCCAACGCGACGCGGGCGGTGAAAGGAGGGCCAACGAAGGCCGCTTTCTATCGGCAGGGCTAATCGGGGTAGAGCGCACGTTGGGTTGACGCCCGCCCCGAGGACCACTGGGCGCCGCGGCGCCCTCGGCCCGTCGGCCGCCGGACCGCCGCAGGGCCAGCCTCGGGCCGCGCGAGCAGGGGGGGAGGAGGAGGAGGAGGAGGAGGAGGAGGAGAGAGGAGGAGGAGGGAGGAGGAGGGAGGGGGAAGATGAAAGGATGAGGATTGAAGGAGGAAGAGGGAGAAGGAGGAGGGAGGAAAAGAGGGAGGAGGAGGAGGAGGAGGAGGAGAAAAGGAGGAGGAGGAGGAGAGGAAAAGGAGGAGGAGGAGGGAGGGGAGGAGGAGGTCGAGAGGAGGAGGAGGGCCCGCGCGAAGGCGCGGATCTGCCAGCGCTCCAGCGGTCGGCGGCGCGCTGGAGGGCCGCGGGGCGGCCCCCGCGGCAGGCCGGGGAGGAGGAGGAGGAGGAGGAGGATAGGAGGAGGAGGAGGAGGGGAGGAGGAGGAGGGAGGAGGAGGGAGGAGGGGGGAGGAGGAGGAGGAGGAGGAGGAAGGAGGAGGAGGAGGAGGAGGAGGAGGAGGAGGAGGAGGAGGCCCCAGCCGCAGAGAGGAGCCGCCGCGGGAGGCGCGCAGGGCGGCCTCGGGCGCCGGAAACCAGCATGCGCCCAAGCAGTCTTCTGAAGGGGCCCTGGGACACACAAATAAATACACACAAATAAAAAAGATTCCCCATATTCTCCTAGATGTTCTGGGTTTTTGTCTTCCCCCCCACTTCCCATATTTTCCCATATTTTCTCGGGAATGAACGATTCATTGTGTCTGTGTGTTTTTTCCCCTCCTGAGAGAGGAGCCGCCGCGGGAGGCGCGCAGGGCGGCCTCGGGCGCCAGAAACCAGCATGCGCCCAAGCAGTCTTCGAATGTCTGACATTGCTTCACGGAGGGGCGCGGGTGATTTACGGCCCACTACATCGAGGCAACACTTTGGTTTCTGGGCGCATGCGAGTAGGCACTTTGCGAGCAGTGGGGCGCGCTCGGCGATGACCAATGCATGTTGCCGAAGTTGGGGGCAGCGCCGGCCAGCGAAAGGCGGGCAGCCATCGAGCGAGCAGCTGGCAAGATGCCGCGGAGCCAGGGCCTCAAGAGGTCGTCGTCGGAGAGACTGGCTAGCGAGAAGCAGCCAGGCTTTGCTGGTGGCCTCCGAGGTGGGGCTGCCGGGAAGGGGCAGCCTTGTGTTCAGGCCAGGCGGAAGGCAGCGAGGTGGAGCCAAGACTGGGCGCGGGGGGCCAGGGCCCAGGCCCTGCTAAAGAGCACCGCGTCGGGGGGCGAACGGCGCCCAGGGCCTGCGCATCGCGCGGGCAGAGGAGGAGGATGAGCTGGCAGGGACGATGCGCTTGGTGAGCAGCATGGCGGGGATGATGATGGTGGTGGTGATGACGGTCACGCTGATGGTGATGGTGATGACGGTGGTGATGATGTTGATGATGGTGATGGTGATGGTGATGATGATGATGATGATGATGATGATGATGATGATGATGATGATGATGATGATGATGATGATGATGATGATGATGATGATGGTGACGATGATGATGATGATGATGGTGATGGTGATGGTGATGATGGTAGAGGATGAGGGCCAACATGATAAAACAGGACTGATGAAAATGATAGTGATGAAATAACAATACGTAGATGATGATGGTGCTTTTGAAGATGAGGATGGGGAGTATGGTGATGATGCTGCTGCTGATGGTGGTGGTGCTGGTGGTGATGATGCTGATGGTGCAGATGCTGATGATGCTGGTGACGGTGATGATGATACTGATGATGGTGGTGACGGTGAATATGTTGATGATGCTGCTGAGGATGATGGGGGACGGGGCCCGTCCCCCTTTTCCGTCCGCGTCCTTCCAACCCCCTCCTTCACTCTCCGTCCTTCCCTCCGTCCGTTGCCCTTCTCCTCGTTCTCCGCATATGCAGAGAGCATCTCTGACTATGTGGGCACATGGGCTCTCGACTGCTGGCGCCGCGAGCACCGAATGGAGTGTGTGGGCACGATGCGGTCCATCGACTCAAGCACCAACAAACAGTCCATGTCGTCGATGGCGTCCAGCTCCAACTGGGACTCCTTGCAACACATCGCGCTCCTCCTCCCCCGTTCCCTCTTCCCGCTTTAAATTCTCTCATCATTTCCTTCCCCTTCCTACTCCCGACCTCTCACTCGAGCTCCGCCCGTCTCCCGCCGCAACCGCGTGTCCACTCCATCTCCCATCCACTCTCCGACTCCCGCTCACGTACATACCCCTGCGCCTCAAACTACAGCTGCACTTCACTCTCCTCGTAAGACGAAGCCAGGGCCGGGACAATATCGGACCAGCGAACATCGGAGATCTCTGAGATCTGGTGTGCCCGGAGGATGTATGGAGACCCAGAGGAGTGCTCCGCAACGCTCTGAGAGGAATGCTCTGGAACTCTGGAATGATGTTTCCTGGTCCTGGCCCCGCCCGACCTTGCTCAATTGTTGTGCCCTCAACCTTCGGGGGTCGACAGCCTCGTGCAGCCTCCGGAGGCCTCCAGGGACTTCTGGGACCTCCGAGGGCCTCTGGGGACCTCCGGGTGTCCTGATCTGGGGCGGGAGCAAAACTTGCCACCTCCTCCTCGCCCTGCTGCTTCACCCTCCTCCTCCTCCTCCGCCTCCTCCTCCTCCTCCTCTCCGCCGCCTCCTCCTCCTCCTCCCCAAGGCCGTCGCCGACAGGTCGCACGCGGCCTGGAGGGGCGAAGCAGCGTGAGCCCCAACGGCGATTGAGTGCAGCCTGTGTGATGCAATGCCGGGCAATTCAACACAGTGGACGGCAGTGCCAAGAAATGCAAAGCAAACGTGCAAGGCAAGCCAAGTCAACGCATAACAATGCAACACCATGACATCCCAGACAGAAGAAAAAACAAGGCAACGCAGCGCAGAGCAGTGAACACGCACTACAAAATGATGTCAGGGCGGTGCCGAACGATGCAAAACAACGAAAAGCACTGCAAATCAAAATTCCTCTGCAGGAAGAAAAGCCTCCTAGCATGAGCAAGGAAAAGACACACTCCCCCCCTCTACCACCAGGGACCACCAGCGGGAGGAGCCAAGGGAGGTCCCTCTGGCGGTGTGGTGACCCCCTCTCGCTCGAGACATCCCGTCCCCTGCTCGGGGAGCCTCGTGGATCTCCTCGCTGGAGGTGGACCCCTCGGTATTGCTGGTGTCGCGCCTCCTTCCCCCGATATAGTGTGCGAGGCTGCAGACTGCGCGGCGGGAATGGGACACGGCGCGCACTGAACACACGGGAACCGTGGGTCTCGAAACCAGCGCGTTGGACAGCGAAGGAGCGACCAAAGGACTGGTGTCAGGGCGGGGACTGTGCAATCAAAACAAGCAGGTATCCAGACGACGAAAGGTTGGAGGCACGAGGAAAAAGGAAGGGGGGGAACTATGGGGGGAGAGAGGGAGGAGGCAAGGTGGGAGGAGCGGAACTCAGGGAGGAAAGGAAGAGGAGGGAGGGAGGGACGAGCAGGTCGACAGGGGTTTGGAAGGAGGGAGAGATGGAGGCAGGAAGGAGGAGGGATTGAGGGAGGGACGGATCAGGGAGGAGGAAGGCGAGTCCTGTTCCCCCGCCGCTTGCCCCTCTCCCCCTCGATGCCCCCTCCTACGAAGCAGCGCGCAAAACAAACACTTCGGTATACGGTATACCCCTGCAACGAGGCGCACTTGGGGTATGTGGCATTTCCGTCCTCCTCCTCTCTGTTCGTCTTCCTCCCGGCTCGTGCTCCACTTGTCCTCCCAGAAGAAACATCGGTTCACGAAATTGCACACGAAAAGCTCCGTCATCACAAAATACTTCAACATCATCTCCACTGCGTTGAGGTGGTTGTCGGGGCGAACCTCCCGGGTCTCCCATGTGCCCTACGCGGGGAGTAGGGCAAGGGGAATACGCGGGGAGGAGCAGGATAAAGAGAGCGATAGAAAGAGAGAGGTACCAAACAACAGCAACTAAGCACAATCTAATGATGAGTATGATGGTGCTGATGATGGTGATGAAGGTGATGATGCGTATAGAGATGGTGCTGATTCTGATGAGAATGATGATTGCGATGATGATGGCGATACTGGTGATGCTGTTGATAATGGTAGTGTCGACGGCGATGGTGATGGTGTCGATTACGATGCTGATGATGTTGGCGAGGCGGACGACGACGATGATGATGAAGATATTGATGTTGATGGTGGCTCAGAAAAGATCAATCAGATTGTGGAGACGAGGAGGGTGGTAACTATGATGATGCTGGTGATGGCAATGATAATGATGATGCTGATGCTGATGATGACGATATTGTGGATGCTGGTAATGATAGTAATGTCGACGATGATGATGATGATGTCGATTGCGATGGCGATTATGTTGATGAGGCGGATGACGACGATGATGATGAAGATGCTGATGCTGTTGGTGATAAAGACATGATCATATTGTGGAGATGAGGAAGATGATAATGATGATGATGATGATGCTGGTGATGGAAATGATAACGAGAACGATGACGCTGATGATGAGGATTGTGATGATGCTGATGGTGATGATAATAACGAGGACGATGACGATGACGATGCTGATGCTGCTGATGATGATGCCAATGTTGCTGATGAGTAAGAAGATGATGATGCTGATGATGGTGCTGATGATGATGATCATGATCATGATGATAATACTCATGATGATGCTGCTGATGCTGATGCTGATGATACTGATGCGGATGCTGATGCTGATGATGGTGCTGATGCTGATGCTGATGATGAGGATGCTGCTGATGCTGCTTCTGATGCTGCTGATGATTATGCTGCTGATGATGCTGATGATGGCGGCGGCGGTGACTCAGCCGAGTTGCAAAGACACGTCCGCGCAGCGGCCGCATGACGCGGACATCGCCCTCAGAGTGGCGGGGGATGCGCCCCAAAGAACTGGCGGAGAGCCGCCCGAGCGGCAAGCTGCCGGTGCTCTGCCTCGCGCTGCCCGCCGAACCACCGCTGCGGACAAGCGTCCAGGCCAAGCTCAGACCAGGGGGCCTCCTCCTCCTCCTCCTCCTCATCCTCCTCCTCCTGCTCCTCCTCGTCCTCCTCCCCTTCCCCCCCCCCCATTCCTGCTTCCGTCTCTGCCCTCTCCCTCCCCCGCTCCTCTCCTCCTGCTTGTCCTCCTCCCTCCTCCCCCTCCCCAGCTCCCTTTCCCCGCCGCCTGCCGCCGTACCCTTGCCCTGCGAGCCTCCGCCGGCCAGGATCGCGCGGGCCACGCGTGCGCAGGCGACCTCTGCTGGGGGCTCCGAGGGCTGCGCGGCGGCCCACGCGGAGCGCATGCCTGGAGCAGACGGCCACAGGTGCGGACAAGCGTCCGGGCTGCGGACGATTGTCTGGCGTGTCTGGACTCTGGACTAATGCAGCGCAAGGCAGATTAAAGAGTCAGGAGGAGAGGAGTAGGAGGAGGAGGAGGAGGAGGAGGAAGAGGAGGAGGAGGAGGAGGAGGAGGGGAGGAGGAGGATCGCGAATTGTCATATCAGGAGGGTGCTGTGACCGAAAAGCCGTGCCCGAAAACCTGCCCGAACGTGACGGAAATCGGCACCCGAACTGTTCGGAACGTGCCCGATTGTGACCTGCTTGTTTGGTCCGGAACCGATACGATTCCCGATAACGAACACAATTTCGGCTACAACTTCATTCACACTGCCTGTCAGTCACAATCATTTTCGGCTGACAGGGGCCGGAGTGTCCTCCGTCCGTCCTCACGGCATGGCTAACTCGCGCACAACGTCGCACGCACATCACGCATGAGACGCACACGGAACTCGACTTCCTGAAGGGCCCGGCTTCAGAAGAAGCGTTAAAACACTCTACCATCGATCAATAATGAAGGCTAGACCAAGAAGAAAGTGGGAAGTAGACATTGTACAACCTGCCCTTACTCTACTGAACGACTGTTCTTGTACACGAGCTTCGCACAACGATGGGGGATCAAAATGTTCACGAACAATTTGCCGAATCGCAGCGCTGACTCAGTACGGGCAAGCAACATGCGTAGAATTGTTGACTGATCCATGGGGACTGCTTGTGAAAGTGCTAGCGGGTCACGCGAAGTCGCGAACCTGGCCCGATGCCGCGTGTCGAGACCTTGCGCAGTCTGCTGGGACACTTCAAGTACTGCAAGCGCTATACGTCGAACCGCCCGCCTCGACCCCGACCATCATCGTCCTCATCCTCAGCCTCGTCTGCCTCCTTCTCCCCCTCCTCCTCCTCCTCCTCCTCCTCCTCCTCCTCCTCCACCCAATTCCTCCTCCCACCTCCCTCCTCCTCCTCTCCCTCATCCCTTTTCATCATCCTGACTCAGTGTGCCTCTTCCCTTCTCCCCCTCCCCCTCTTTTCCTCCTCCACCCCCTCCCTTTCCACAGCCGCCCCGCCGCATCCCCTCCCCAACGCGCGCGAGCGCACCTCCTGGATCTCGTGGCCCTCTACCAGCACCTGAGCCCCGCGGCGGCACCAGGAGGATGAGGAGGATACTGCATTCTCAGCGGCGAAAGGAGGAGGAGGAGGAGGAGGAGGAGGAGGAGGAGGAGGGGAGGTCCGTAGCTGGCTCAAGCCATTGCCAGGGGCCTTCGCCTTCCCTTGGGTTGGGGCTCAAGTTTTCCAGGCACAGGGCCTGCACGCACCGCCTTCAGGAGCCAGGCTCGGCAACGGGAAGATATTTTTTTTCTCTCTCTCTCTCTCTCTCTCTCTCTCCCGACACTGAGCCTGCAGACGCCATGGCGCAGAAGGGCTGTTGGAAGAGTAACGGTTCATCGGGCAGCAGCAAGGGACCTAAAGCATGCTTGCAGACCTACAACGGCTGGCAGGACAACGCTTCGGCCAACTGGAAGTGCGTCTGCGGCTGCGGCCGAGACAAGGCAACGTGGAGCTGGTGCAAACATTGCGGACAGGACCGCGCCTCAGGAGAAGTCGCGCCACCACTTGAGGCTTTCGGAAGCGGCGGTCCGCAGGATATCGTTCTCCCTGGTCTGCATCTTCCTCGCTCTGTGGGTGCTCAGTTCTCTGTCTGTGGCGGCCAGGACCTCAAGTCACTCTCGGACGTGGAGGTCGCCAGCTTGGAACAGTTGGGAAAGAAAAGCCACAACTACCAGCTCGCGAATGCCTGCCAGCAGGAGATCAAGAGGCGTGCCCAGCCTGGCAAGGCGGCCCACACGGTCGCTGGAGAGGCACATGCCAAGCTACAGTATGTGGAGAAGCAGCTCGTTGCGGCCACTGAGAAGCTTGAGTATCTCACCAAGCAACGCGAGCAGCAGCAGTTGGTCGTCACCAGCCTGGTCGCTCAGGTTGAGGCCACCCCAGCGGAGTACAAGAGTGCAGTGGCGCAGCTTCATTCGCAGACCATCGGCAAGGACCAGCAGGTCAAGTCGACGGGGGCGAATATGTGCATCAAGGATATCTTGGATGGCAACATCGCAGACATTTTCCTGGGCGACCACCAGGAGTTGTCCAAGGAAGATGTCGCAGCTGTGCAGGAAAGGAAGCGTCTGTTGGCTGAGGGGCTCAAGACGGCGACAGATAACCTGTTCAGCGCCATCCGCGAGAAGGCTGAGTCGCTCGCCAAAGACCACAAAGAACATTCAGAGAGGATCCACAAGAAGCGCAAGGGCGAGGGCGGAGTGGCCGCGACGGTCACCGAGGACGGCAACGGCGGCGGGCAGCAGGGGCCGGCGACGACGGCTTCGGCGGCGGCGCCTACATCTCCGTCTCCTGAGGCCCCTTCTGAACCTCTCGCCCGTGCCCGAGCGGCGTTGGCCGCCACGGGCGACAGCCCGCAGCATCTTTGACGCCCCTCAGGGGCGCGGGCGCCTAGCTGCCTGCAACACCTCTCCCTCAGGGCTGCCTCATCCTCCTTCCTCCCCTCCTAAGTTGCAGGTAGCGAAGCGAAGTCAGGACTTTGTAGTCGAGACTGCTAACTCCTCTGGGTGGGGACCTCTTTGTCGATTTTTAGCGGAGCGCCGGGCCGGTGTTGCGATGTTGCAAGAGATCGGTCGGGCAGCCTTCCAGATTCAAGAAGCCGAATCTAGAATGGGCACGCTAGGCTGGCAGACCAGCTTGCGTCCCTGTGTCATTACCCAGGACGGCGGGCTCTCGAGTGGGATCGGTGTCGGATGTCGTCGGTCGTTTTGTGTGAGCCTGCCGCCTGGGGTCTCTGCGCCACGATTTCCATCCCCTCATAGGATGCACATTTGTTGGGTCAATGCGCACGTCCCTGGGGGATTCTCAGCTGTTTCACTTTACCTGCCTACGGGGGGCGAGGCCCTCGGGCCCGAGGGGTCTCAACTACTAGCCAGGCAGGGGGAATCACTTCGCGGGTGGAGGTTGCCGTGCATCATAGGAGAGGACTGGAACTGCATTCCTCAAACTATCAGTGATTGTGGATGGGTTTCTCGTCTCCAGCCTACCATATGTGCTCCCTCGTCGCCTACGTGCAGGTGTGGTAAGATTTGGAAGGTCCTCGACTCCTTCTTAGTCTCGCCAGGACTTGCTAGTTCGGTGATGTGTGCTCGTCGCAGCCGAGTTTCAACTTTGAAGCCGCGCTGGGCAGTGCAGCTGGTCATGAGGCACAAGGCGGTTCTGCCGAAGGTGCCGATGTTGATAGGACCCAAGCGCTTCCCGCGTGATGGTGCTGAGCTCCCCTTCGGGCACCCGACAGCGCCGGTGGACTGGGGCACTTTGGCTGAGCGGCTCGAAGGAGCCGACGACCCAGAGTATCTCCAGCACTATTTCAATATCTTCTTAAGTCTCTACGAGGACGAGATGTGCAGGGCCTTCTGCCTAGACCAGGAGCTCGGGGATAAATACCGCGGGCGGGCCCTGGGGGCCAGACCCAGAGCGCCCCTGAGGTTCAAACCACTGGGGGGCCGTATCCTGCGGGGTGTTCTCGGGCTCGGGGGTGGCGTTCTCTTCACATCTGGCTCATGGAGCTCCACTATATCAAACAGAAAGGGGTGTCTTGGCTGGGGACCTTAAACAAAATTGTCCGAGGCCCCCCTACCCTTAGGAGCGACCAGGACTGGGCGGAGTGGAGTCCAGGGCGTGCAGCTCTCCAGGACTCTTCTGCCCAGGACCTCTACCACTGGTCGGTCGGCGCCGGCACGCGGGCGGACCGGCTCGAGCGCGTGCAGGCTGCTGCGCGCCAGGTCTGCCTGGAGGAGCTGGGTCAAGGAAGCTGTCAAAAA